TGACACTGGTGGTCCAGGGACCCAACTTGGAACAGCTCTGGTGAGCCCAAAAGATGTCCTAGGGCCCAACTGTACCCTTACCTTCGGTGAGCATGGAAACAGAAACTAAAGCAGCCGAAAGCCGTAGATCAAGGGGTCTAAGCAAGACAGAAGAGGTTGCCACAAGCATGGAGAAGAGTGGCCTAAGGGCCTCCGGCAGCGTAAGACACAGTCCAAGAGGAAGGAGCTACACACTCGGAACGCTAGGGAGGCTCCCGTCTCTCGTCTCTCCGGGACCCAGGAGGAAGTCACATGACAGAGCAGGTAAGAGGACCGAAGAGCAGAGAATGAGAAGGCGGTGCAAGTTGGAGGAAGAAACGGTGATCTGGATTTGCTTTTGGATCGGTCTGGTAGGGGGCACAATGGTTGGGTGATGGTGGGTCCATTCAGTGATTCAAGTGAGAGCTGATGTCATCTTGGGCTTGTCAGGGCCAGGCTGATGAAGAAGGGGTGTGGTTTAGAGCAACCTGGGGTCCTAGGGGTGTGGCTTAGAGCATCCTGGGGTTCTAGGAGTGTTGGGAGGGGGATGTCCTTCTGTGTATAGGTTTCTCTTATTGATGAAAAAAACACCACCATGATCAGTAGACTCAGGGAGCTAGGCGGGACTAGGAGATGCAGAGAATTCTGGGAAATGTAGGCAGACGGAGTCATCATGTAGAGCCCGGGAAAAAGGGGATTCGAAAGGCGTTCTCCAGTAAGCCAAGACCATGTGGAAATGCATAAATAGAAAAGGGTTGATAATTAAGACAGAGCTAGCCGATAAGAAGCCCAAGCCACCCACCGGCCAAGAGTTTTATAAGTCTTGTGTGTTTATTTGGGACTCTCAAGGGTGGCAGGACCCAGTTGGGCCAGAAAGTACTCATTATATAGAAGTCTAAATCACGGATCTCAGTGGAGGTGTTGGGTTTTGGCTTCAGAGACGGTGAAGTGGGTCCTATCTGCAAAGGAGTCGAGGCACACACACACACCTCTCACATCACACGGTAGAGGGCTCACACATGATCAGGGCAGCGGGCGGGAGCTCACATTTGATGTCCAGCTTAGATCAGAATGTGGTGAAGAACCCTCCCAGCCCTGGGTTCCCTCCCCGTGTTTTAGACACGGTGGGGGCAGTGAGGGAATGAGAGGCAGGAAAGGGTCCTGTGACTATGGAATTGCTCTGGGAGGAGAAATGACCTTGGTATAAAGGTGAGAACCCAGGATCTGTAACAAGTCTATCTGGGGAAAGTGACCAGGGTAGCATCTCAGTCGACCATGCCAGGACCCGATCCCCTTGTTTCCCAAGCTCCATGGGCCACCCGTGCAAGCCAGAGTCCCTGGAATCCCATCTGCCTCTGCCCATCAGGACCGGGACACTGTGGTCCTTCTGGGACAGGACCTGGGATGACAGATTCCCCTGGAGCATGCCCATGGTCCTGGCTTCTCGTCTCGAATCTCTGTCAGTGTGTTCCATAGCATCCCTGAGATCACCTCTTCCCCCTAGGAGCCGTGGCAATAGGAAAGATGAGGGAAATGGGTGGCTTGGGAGGTGTGAGACATGGCGGACTTGACTGTTGGCATGTTAGATGCCACCTTGGGTAGGTTGACGAGGCGAGGATGTCCTATAAGCGTTTAGTCAGGGCCATCCGGAGCTCAGGGGTGGGGGAGGGGAGTCTCGGCTGGCTTCTTAATCTGTTCAGGCTGGTCTAACAGAATGCCCCAGAATGCTAGCAAACTCGGCGTCTGGCGAGAGCCTGATTCTTGCCCTCACGGATGCGCCCTGACCAGTGTCCCCGTGTGGTAGAGGGATGAAGCAGCTCTCGGGGCTGCTCTTCGTGAGGACACCGATCTCATTCACAGGAGCTCCTTGTCCTGATCTAATCAGTCCCAAGGTCCCACCTCACAATACCATCACCTTTGAAGTCGGGCTGTCAGCGTACAGGATTTTGGTCGTACATAAACATTCAGACCACAGAGGCTGGAGATCTGAAGAGACCGGAAGTCTGCAGAGTAACCAGGACTCCACGGGATGTGTGAGGAGCAGGGTGGGCCCTCACATAGGTGACAACACAGGAAGGTGCTGCTATGGTCATGAGAAGGCTTGAGTGTGCATTGGCTCATGGCAAAATTCCGCAACAGTTGTCTCTCTGGACTCATCGTCCGATCAAGTCCTCACAGTGGGCGGAGGCAGAAACCAGGGCTGGATTCCACATTCGGAGCGCTCTCACACAGCTTTCATTCATTCTCTCAAAAGGCAGCATAACACCTGCAACTTGCCGCTGTGACCTCTGGGGCCCAAACAGAGAAACCCTGCCCTGCCACAGCCCACTAAGCTCAAGGTGCGAATTAGGGACGCAACCAGGAAGACGGTGATACCGGTGAGGGAGGCTTCCTCGAGGAATCATCTAGCAATGAAAGCCAACACCGTGGAACCAGCCCAGGGCACACACAGCCGAGTTTCAGAACTCAGCGTTTTCTGTTATAGGAGATATAAAAGACCCAGGGACAGAGTAGAACCACCACGAGGTGATTTGAAAGCAGGAGCTAGTGTGTGGATCGGAGGGCAGGCAGGAAGGCTGGAGTCCTTCCCGCCTAGTTTTTGGCTGAGGGAGCCACATGGGCAAGCTTTTTCTGCAGGCATCACAAGGATGCTTGTGTTCTGCTGCCCCCTAGCGGTGCCTTTGGGTATGGCATGACCGTCACAGGAGGGTTTTGTTTTTTGTTTTCCAAGTTTAGCTCTTTGGTGGAGGTCCAGGTTGGGGACATCCTTAGACGTGTGACAGGCGCGGCTGGGGCTTGTGACTTCAGGAGTCTCTCCCTTACAGATCCTCTCAGGGGGACTTAAAAGCCACTGGCCAAGCATGGCTCTGGCCCCAGTGGCTTCCTGCGCTTGGGGGTTACGGACACGGGTTTCGTCTCACTTCCGCTGCAGCCAAGTGCAAGCTGTGTCACAGCGCCAAGAGTGGCAAGGCTGGCTTTTGCTCGATCCTCATGCTTCGCTCCAACACATGCTTAGACGGCTCTGGAAAGCCCATCTCCCTCGTAAGGTTAACCGCCCCACATCAGGCCGCATGGTCTGTACAGGACTCCAGGAGGTCTCACCCGCTCCAGGATCTGACCTCAGCCTGACCACATACTGAGCACTGAGCATCCTGTCCGCGCTCCCTCCAGCTCCCTGGAGTTCATCTTGCTCTCTATTTCACACTGACTCGGGCACATCCGTCTGAAGGGCAGCCCCCACCCCCCCCAACCCCCACCCCCCCAACCCCCACCCCCAAAAAAGACGCACACTCGGTGGAAGGGTACCTTTGTCCAGCTGCCCTACTTTTGCCCAGGCCAAAAGTTTCCCGAAAACCAGTTCCCAGGCTATGCTGAGCCCAGATGGTGCAGATGCTCCCAGCCTGCTCCCTTTCCCCGGGGCTGGCTCCCTGGCCTCTTCCCTGAAGCTCCGCCCACCGAGGAAGACTTATTTTTATCCACTCTGCCTCAGTCTTTCAGTTAACCTCTTTTCTGTTGCTGTGACAAGACACCGTGTCTAAGGCAACTTACAAGAGGAAGTGTTTAATTGGGGCTTACAGTTTCAGGGGATTAGCTAGGAGTCCATGACGGCAAAGCAAAGGCAGGGGACCAGCTGACAATTCACAGTTGGAGCTACACACACACAAGAAGAAACAGAGAGCACACTGGGAACCTCAAGCCTCAGAGTCCATCCCCAGGGACACACGAGGCCACGCCTCCTAATCCTTCCCAAACAGCGCCACCCACTGGCGACCAAATGTCCAAACTTAGGAGCCTAAGGGTAGGGACGGTCTTCAAACCACCCCGCCCAGTCACAAGTGTGCCTGCTGTTCTGAAGACTGCCAGGAAACATGCGGGAATGCAAATTCTGATTCCAAGACACAGCTGCTGGGACATGTCTGTTTGCCCCTGAAACAAACACTTGTGAGTTTGTGCTGCAGGTGGTCCTTCGGATGAGTTTGAAAATCAGCCAACAGACCAGGTACTAACATCCATGAGCCTGGACCGAGAATGTGAATGAAGCTAGGAGGTGCCCAGTGAAAGACGGGCCATATATAGTCACGGGCCATATATAGTCACGGGCCATATATAGTCACGGGCCATATATAGTCACGGGCCATATATAGTCACGGGCCATATATAGTCATGGGCCATATATAGTCATGGGCCATATATAGTCATGGGCCATATATAGTCACGGTCCTTGCTGGCAGGTGAGGGGCCCTGGACTCTGGCGCTCCAGGAAAGAGAGAGCTGACCTCCTGCCTCTCTCCCTTCCCTTCCCAAATTTTCTGACCCAGAGGGTTAGCTATGTTGTTCTCTGTGACCTAACCCCTTCCCCTCCTGTCTTCCTTGTTCCTCTCCATGTGTACAAACGTGTGCAAAATCATGAGACACGGCAGTGTTGTCCTGGCCTCTGTCCCCTCTGAACAATGTGTAACATGTTGACCCAGCCAGCACCTGTGGCTCCTGGGATGGGAATTCAGAGTAGAGTAATTTTCAGTGTGCAGACAGGACTCCGTCTGTCCTGGACCTCTCCCCTGAGCCCAGAGAACAACTTGTGGGAGCTGGTTCCCCCTTTCCACCAGAGGGCCCTGGGGTTTGAACTCACTCTTCACTGTTGGCAGCAAATGTGCCTTTACCCGCTGAACCATCTCTCAGACTGGAGGATTTTAAAGACATAAAAATAAGGACAAGTTAAGTTCTGGTGCGTGTGTGTGTGTGTGTGTGTGTGTGTGTGTGTGTGACAAATATTGTCATATCTGTACCCTGAGCCACTGTGGTTATGATTTTCCATTGCTACAGAATATACATAGCATTTTCCATTTTAAATTGCATATTTAGTAGTGCTAAACTCTCTCTCTCATGCACGCACACACACATGCACACATGCGCATGCACACACAGAGTTTATAACCAACACCATCACCCATCCCTAAGACTTGAAGTTTAAAACTCTGTACCTGGTGTTGACTGCAGCTTCCTGCTTCTCCGGACACCCAGATCCTAACAGCGTCCATTCCACGGTGAACACTGCTATGTTCTTCATGTAAATGGGGCACTCGGTATTTGGCACCCTGAGTCATTTTCCCACTTAACGCATGTCAAAGTCTTCACACGCTGTAGCGTGCATCCCTGAGATAAAAGAGAGTGAGTGCATTTGTCTCTGTTCTTCAGCCTGACTCACCATGAAGCCTCATGGTGTAAGGGAAGCTGTCCTCTCACCTCCACACGAGAAATATAAACAACCGCGGGGAACATGAACCTGTTCTTAACACCCTCCTCCCCACAATCCATGTGACACCGCCATGCTGCATTCTACCTATAGATGGCGCTAGTGATCAGCTGCTACATTCACTTGGGGTTTGGCGACTAGCAAATACAGTTTGTGTGCAGTTGCCAATCACAAGTCAGTGTAGCAACTCGGAAACGTGCTGTTTGCTCTGAGCAGCATGCGTAAAGCCTCGTGCATTTCGATCCAAATGGACACTTATTGGTATCAGACAAGTTTGCGGTTTGCATTAAGTAAAAAAAAAGCATCAAAGGTTTGTTTCTCCATGTGGAGGTTTTCTTATAAAGATCCACACTATTGTTGGTAAATGATTGAGGCTCATAGTCCTGGAGCCATTTATCTCTGCAGCCCCTTTCTATTCTCAGAATCCGAGCTTCCACCCATCCACCCACCCACCCAGAGCAAGCCCCAATCTCTGCTCCTTAGATGCTACCTCTCGCCACACTCAGCCCAGGGACAGCCTCCTGACCGCCTCCCCTTCTCCTGTATTCTCCAGCTACTGCATATCCCTGGGTTTCTCTCTTCCCTTTAATGGTGCTTACCGCTAAACTTTTGATATAGCCTATGTCTGTCCTTCTCAGAATCTCTCTCTCTCTCTCTCTCTCTCTCTCTCTCTCTCTCTCTCTCTCTCTCTCTCTCTCTCTCTCTCTCTCTCTCTCTCCCCCTCTCCCTCCCCCTTCTCTTGATCTCAGTTACCAAACCTTCATGTCTTCAACTTTCTAAGCCTACTGGATGTTTACATCCCACCAGAAAGCAAGCACTCTGGTCGGGAGTCACCCGTGTGCATAGACACTAACTATTCTCTGGTGAAACCCTGGAATCTGAACGCTAGAGCCAAAAGCAAACAAACAAAAACACACTATCAGTCTCAATCCTCCTTCTGCCCATCTTCCACACCTCCCAGCCTCTTGGCTTCTGCATGCCAGTTTTGCTTTTCCTCGGCAGGAAAGCAGCGCCCATCTCACAGGGTTTCCGTGAAGGCGGCGTGCGTAGGTACTGCGACGTAAGACAGAGCCAACTCGGGTAGCATCGCCTGTACTTGGGAAATGCAATCATTTAATAACTGCACGGTTAACGCACTGTATCAGCTGTCGGGTAAACACATTCACTGTGATTTCCGGCAAGGTTTGCTTTCTGTGGGTGGCATGGGGAATGTCACACTCACATCAGGGTCAAGGCTGGCTCGAAGTCACAGGCTCCTAGAGGGTAGCTTGACATGCAGAGAAGACCCCAAGACAGACATAGCAAGTGCATGCCGAGGACCGGAAGCAGTGCGGTCAAACCGAAAGGCACAGGTGGCCACTGATATCGAGACCAAAACTCGCTGCCAGTCCCCCAGCCCTGGCAGAGAGCTGATGTTCTGGAAGGAGCTGCATCAGGACAGAGGCTGACTGGCCTGCCTCCCCTGCACCATTCTCCCATTCCAGACCCACGACAGAATTGTCTTTGGGTGAGTGTGGCAGTGACACACACCTGCCTGCTTCACCAACTAATCCCAGGGCAGTGGAAGTTGAGTGAACTGTCCCCTGCAAGTTCCAGGGCTCCAGGGGTCCCTTTGTTTAACCTCAAGGGACTGACCAGCCAGGAAACGCAACACATTTCTGTTTGGTACTTTCACAATCGGAGAATAAGTTGCCAGCCAAACAGTTTTCTCTCAAAAGGAAGCAGTCCCCTGAGTACTAGGAAGAGGAATTCTGAAGAATAAAAAGTCAAACAGAAGGGAAGGCAGTCTTCAAAAGGAAAAAAAGGGGGGATTCTGTCACTCCTCAAGGTTAAGCAAATAGGGGTGGCGTCAGATGGGAATGAATGTGCTTTTAAAACTAGGAGAGAAAGGACTAGAACTCAAGCAGCTTTTTTTTTTAATGCCACCCAGGGCCAAACATTCCCAGCCTGTTAACTTCAGGGCAGGGGAGCAAAAGCCACAGCTCCTTCATTGCAGATCCTTGGGGCACTTGGAGAGCGATGGAGGTGGGTCTTTATTGTCTGCAAGGTCGAAGTTCCGGCCAGAGGCAGCCCTTCTCCGGAGAGTGCCCCTCCAGCTCTTGCTCCCGGCATCACCAGCACCTCCTCGTTATGGTCTCATAGAATCCACCTGGGAGCTGCTGTGCCAAACTCCACCTTCTCATTACCGCACACTCTCGGCATCCTCATTACCTCACATTCTTTCCAAGCAGCAACTCAGTAGAAAACACTTGAGGAGAATAATAACTTAGGAGCTTCCACAATAGACAGGGACATAGTATAAAGGAAGGTCATGAATTCTTTTCTTTGTATATAAAAAAAATCAAGGGTAATGAAGTTAAAAATAACAAGTAATGTAAAATCTACCACCCGTGGCGGCTTAGCCTCACCGTGAACTTGACTGCCTTCAGAGTCACCCAGGGGACATGCAGGACTGTCCGTATGGGGTGCTTCTAGAAAGGTTTGAAGAGGGGAGACCCACCCCAATGGAAGCAGTAGCACCCCGTGGGTTGGGGGTTCTCTAACTGGATGAAAAGGGGGAAGTGAGCTGAGCATCTGCATCCATCTGTCTCTGCTTCCTGGAGACAGGCACAGCGTGGCCAACCTCCTTACACTCCTGGGGCCTTCCCTGCCATGGCAAACTGTGCCCCTTAAACTTCTCCCCCGATGTCGCTGCTAGTCAGGAATCTGGCTGTAGCAGCAAGAAAGGTAACGAATTCATCACAGCAACCAGTTTGGAGTTTATAGAGTGTGAAGGATTTTACACCTCTGTGCGACCAATCTCCAGAAGTTTTTTTTTTAACCTCACAAAACAGAAATTCTGATCCCGTGAAAAACTTCCCTAGATGCCCTGCCATTTTTCTCCTTCTGCCTCCATGAATTTGCCTAGGTCTCAGTTATGCTCAACAGTGGGACCAACACAGGAAAATGCTGCTGGGAATGGCCTTTCGCATAGCATCATGTCCTCAAGGGTCATCCGAGTTGTGTTATAGTCCACAGCATGCAGATACCATATTTGGTTGACCCTTCATCTATGGATGCTGGGTGGTGCATTTTAAGACGTCTTTGGTAGGGGCTGGAGAAGTGACTCAGTGGTTAAGAGCACTGGCTACCCTTCCCAGATGTCCCAGGTTCAATTCCCAGGCCCGGAATGACAGCTCATAACTGCCTGTGACTCTTAATTCTGAAGGACCTAACACCCGATTTGGCCTCTGCGGGGCCCCAGGTATAGAGTTGGTACACAGACTTGCATAGGAGCCAAGTATCCACACACGGGTAATATAAAGTTAAAAAGTGAGCCTTTGGAAATGTGCGGATTGTATACGAAAGGATGTCACTAGTCACAATTAGCAATTATGGGGGCCTTCTGTTTGGCCAGCGCTGAAAATGGGATCTGCGTAAATCACCGCTAACTATTCTTGGAAATTCTCACCAGTTCAAGGCCCCCAAAACTGGAGTTTCATCTGCGCTGTTAGTAACTATTTCATTGTCATTTAAAATTAGATAAGCCTGAATTACTGAGAAATCATGGAAGTGATGCGAGACAGCGCTCCCCCTTGTCTATCACTTTCCCGAGCTTGCAAACGCCCCTTGGCTTTACTGGCGGCTTCCCGTGCCTCGGCGGCGGCGCTAGTCACGCTGCTTTCCCGAAGCGGTCCTGGCCTGTGCCACCCTCAGCATCCTTGTCTGAGACAGCCCTCTTCCTCCACTCCGCGTCGCCGCTCTTCACCAGCAACGCTGTTAGGCTGGCCTGCCTCAAACTGCTCCATCTCTCTAGTCCCCGGCATCTCTGAGATGCGCAGCAAAATAGACACGTACTGCGTCCCCCCCCCATAATGCATGCAATGTCTGTGTCCCCTCTGTGTCCCCAAGCTATGGGAGGCCCCAGCGATTGTTATGGAGACAATCGACTCCATAACAAGCAACTGCCTGGATGTTAACACAGATCAAGCTTTGATGAGATGATGTGCAAAGGAGAGAGGATGCGAGAGGGTACCGTGTCTGCTTTGCGGTGAGGGAAGCAGCTGGGTACCCGATTGGATGCCCAAATTGTAACTGGCATGGACGGAGGGCAACCAAGAACAGAGAAATAAGATTGGCCAAATAGCAAAAGTAGTATGATCATTATTTTAGTTTGACAATAATGTAAAAGCGGAACCAGTTTTTTTTTTTAGGATGCATTTTATGTGTCTGAATATGCACCACATGAGTACTTGGGAATGTCAGATTGTTGTGTGGTGCTGGGAGTCAAAGCTAGATCTCTTGTAAGCGCACCAAGTGCTCCTAGGCCCTGAACTGTCTCTCCAGCCCCAATAACCAGATGCTTAGTATCTTAGAGACTCAGATAGCACTAAGCAACTCTGCTTCCTCCTAAGACACAGATGAGATGATCTGGGGTGTCTCTACAAATCTTCACAACGGGTCCTGGGTGACTGCTGGCGCTTCTTGAGGGTCATAACTGTTTCTTGCTGTAGACTCTTTCTTGTCTCGTTACCTATTCTTCCTCCACAAGTGTAGTCAACCTTTCTCACGCGTTAACTATGACTGTTTTTCCATTACTCTCCAGAGCCCATCTTCCAGTGACCAGGGTTGGGGGGGCACAGAGTCCTCGCGTTTGTGTTTGCCCATCCATGTGGTGTAAATACTTCTACCTCAGGTGACCCCCAAACTGCCAACACACTGTTGGTTGCATCTCAAAACTGACACTGGGGAAACGTGTAAGCTTTTCGGTGTGCAGGTGGTGGCACGTCACTGTTTCTGAGATGGAGATCAGACAGCTGACATGTACTACCCACTTAGCCTGACTTATGTCCTAGGACATTTCACAGAGGAGGAAACTGGGCATCTCTACCTGTGACATTTCCTGGTCACTCTTGCCTTTGCCGGTCAACCCACATGGCCACCAGCATCTCCTCTCAGGAAGCCTGTGATGTCCCTGAGCCCTCTGAGCTCACTTTAGGATTTGTAATCTCATTCCTTACTCCTCCTTCTTGCAGAACTTTGTAATTGGCCATGACTTCTAAAC